GTGTCACCTAATAAAGGTGACCTACAATCTGTTGGCAGTATGGATGTGACGCAGCTTTTACAGGACATACAAAAAACAATGGTGAGCATTCTAGATGAGAAATTGAGGGATATTGCTACTAAATCCGATTTAGAGGCTGTCAACACAAATATAATCAGCCTTAATCATATAGTCGAAAAGCTTTCAGAAGAAAATAAAACTTTAAAAGAAAAAATAATTAAATTGGAGCATGAAAAACAAACCGACCACGATGAGCTGATGCGGCTAATTGACGCCAATAAGGAGAAAAACCTAATTTTCAAAGGCCTAACAGTTCAGCTGCCACCCAAGGAAGCTGTCACAAAACTGTGTGAAGAAACTCTTGGCATAAACATTGTAGTCCGTAAAGCTAGAGTCATATCACAGCGGGAAAATAAAATCAACGTCTTGGCAGAGATGACGTCAGAAGAATCGATTGGCCTAGTTTTCCAAAACATACACAAACTTGCAAACTCTACGATTAGAATTGAAAAAGACCTGAACAAAGACAGACAACGGCATAGAAAAGCTCTTCTTTTAATAAGGAAACAAATTCTCTCGATAGATCGTTCGCATAAGGTACTCGTTCGAGATGATAGAATACGCATTGGAAACAAGTGGTGCAAATGGAACAAAAATGGAATCCTAAAGTGTGGCAATGAAGAGGCAACTACTACTCTCAAATTTATGTATGGAAGCAAACTTGAAAACCTTAATCTTAACTTATTAAGCATCATGAATGAGATAGATCAAAACAACCATATGGCAAAAAACTAAAGAACGAATACAACACATTAACAACAACTACAGAGGAAGCTCCATCAACATCATGGAATACAGAATCTACATACAATCTTTTTAAGCTTCAAATAACTTTTTGGAATGTACACGGTATTGCAAATCTTTTTAACGAACCAAAAATTGCTGACTCGCAGATCATATCTATCTATGAAACCTGGTCAACAACACCTTTCAATACTAGCCTTAGTCCTTGGTGCAACTATGATGCACTGACAGTCTCAGCAACAAGGGAAAAGTCCACTGGTAGAGCTAGTGGTGGTATTGTATCTCTAGTTAAAAAAAATTTAGCAAAAAGTTGCGAAATAAGCAAAACAAATTTGTGGATTTTCAACTTTTATTGTATTAATAATTTTAATTTTATTTTAGGTTCATTGTACATTAAACCACATTATGATATAAATATTGCTTTAGAATTGCTTCAACCATTAATCGATGAAATAATTAAAAAATATGCAGGGATCCCTTTAATAATAGGTGGTGACTTCAACGCTAGAGTGGGTGAAGAG